TGCACCAGTTTCTAAAATGAGGATTAATGTTGGTCGTGGCTGGGAATCAACTTCATATTTATAGTTTTTTTAAACCAGGTGAGAACTCTAGAGACCAAGATAGTATCATTTGCAAGAGTGACCTAGACCTACCCAAGTTGTGCTATAATCCACAAACCACTGTGCCACATAACTGGTGGGGCGAATACTGCTTGAGAAAACCATTTCGCGAGAACCTATAACCACCAAGTTCATTCTTGCAAACGAAACTATCCTGGTATCTTGAGTTTTCAGTTGGTTCAACAAAAATTACTCTTTCAATGCTGCCACAGAACACAATTGGGGCATTCCTCCCCAATGCCAGGTACTAATTTTAGGCTGAGTTGACCTAAAGAAGGCTCAGACTAGGTTCATATACAAATTGTCATTTTTCGTTTTAATTGCCAGTCGGATATAAATACGGTTTTGACCATGGCAGGCAAAAAGGGTTTGCTGTTGTTTGCAATACACGTACTACTGTATTTTTCGTGAAAAAATGCACTCTTTTCTCTTGTTTTTATATTTAGCATTCACACATTTACAATCCATAAAAAATATGGAACGGTATTTATTTTAAATATGTTCGGTATGTTAAACAAATGGCAAGAATGTCTGAACTTATTTTGAGATTATATTGCATGCAGTCGCTGAATCAGCGTGCTTGACATTCCTGAAATGCTACGTATTGTACGCATACATGTAGTACACGCAATTTTTTGTTATTTCTATGCATAACATATAAGAGTGTAAGCAATTTGATTTTAAAGCACATGCGTTGAATTGTACATGTTTTGTGAGTGCTTTTGCTAAGAGGTCTGGACATGTTATCTGCCCACAGTGGGTTAAGGTGTCCTTGACATGATTATACATTTGACACCTCTTAGGATCTAACCTGGATAAATGTTGCCATAAATAAGGAAATAAACACGGCAATAAATAATCCAGCTTCTGTTGTGACATATAGAACTATCCTGTGAAATTAACTGATTTATGATAACAGTGATGATAATAATGCTGATGAAGATGAGTGACAGGGTGGCACATTGGTAACACTTGTGCCTCACAGCAAGATGGCCTTGGGTTCGAATCCAAACCCGCCTTTCTGTGCGCAATTTGTTCTCCCCATGCGGTGGGTTCTCTGATTTCCCCCCAAAGCTAAACCAAAAACAAGTAAACCCGTAAAAACAAAGTTTTTCGCTATAAATCCTTTATATGCGTGGCGGCTAGAGTCCTCTCGTCCTCTGGCTTGAGATGGCTGCCACCTATGGGTCAGATGATTGCATGGCAGCATTAAGCAATTGGTAATTAAATATAATATTTTTGTCCTAAAAAGTGTAAAATTTTGGAAAAAAAATTTCACGAACATTAATTGTCACGCACAACGAGTCTGTGTGGAAAATGTCAGCTCGATTGGATCACGGGAAGTGGGTTAAAAAACGACCGAAAGATTTGCACGGTCCTACGCAAGCAAGCGAACTTAATATAAAGGCTTTAACAAGTAAACCCGTAAAAACAAAGTTTTTCACTCTAAATCCTTTATATGCGTGGCGGCTAGAGTTCTCTCGTCCTCTGGCTTGAGATGGCTGCAATCTATGGGTCAGATGATTGTCTGCCAGTATTAAGCAATTGGTAATTAAATATTTAATTAGTTTTCCCTAAACAGTGTAAAATTTTGGAAAAAAAATTTCACGAAAATTAATTGTCACACACAACGAGTCTGTGTGGAAAATGTCAGCTCGATTGGATCACGGGAAGTGGGTTAAAAAACGAGCGAAAGATTTGCACGGTCCTAAGCAAGCAAGCGAACTTAATATAAAGGCTTTAACAAGTAAACCCGTAAAAACAAAGTTTTTCACTCTAAATCCTTTATATGCGTGGCGGCTAGAGTTCTCTCGTCCTCTGGCTTGAGATGGCTGCAATCTATGGGTCAGATGATTGTCTGCCAGTATTAAGCAATTGGTAATTAAATATTTAATTAGTTTTCCCTAAACAGTGTAAAATTTTGGAAAAAAAATTTCACGAAAATTAATTGTCACACACAACGAGTCTGTGTGGAAAATGTCAGCTCGATTGGATCACGGGAAGTGGGTTAAAAAACGAGCGAAAGATTTGCACGGTCCTAAGCAAGCAAGCGAACTTAATATAAAGGATTTAAAAATATATTCGCCTGTGGAGGACGCGGGGATCGATCCCGCGACCTTTGGCATGGGAAGCGAGGGCGCTACCAACTGCGCTACTCCACCACGGCCTGTGGAGGGGTTACGCTCTGGGCTCTTGCACTGTGATGTTCAGCCAAAGCCGTGAATGCGTTCTATTTGAATATATGTAAAATACATTTTTTTTGCCTAAAAAGTGTAACATTTTGGGAATTTTTTTTCACGAACAATAATTGTCTGGCACAACGAGTCTGTGTGGAAAATGTCAGCTCGATTGGATCACGGGAAGTGGGTTAAAAAACGACCGAAAGATTTGCACGGTCCTAAGCAAGCAAGCAAGCACGCGAACTTAATATAAAGGATTTAAAAACCAATGCATTGCACTTGGTTGGGCCACAAATCGCCCCTAACACATTGCTGGAAAATTACTCGATTGGGATTGTACCTAGCAACATCGCCTCCTACTGGGAAAAAAATATTGGCAGGACTATCGTGAAACAAAAGGCTTTCCTGAATAAACAAGCATCGTAATAAAAAATAATTTGATTACCATTAGGACGTGAATATAATGATGATGATAATCGTAATAATATGGATATGCTGCTGCTGATAATGATGTGTTGGTAATAGGTGAGTTGATTTTTTTATGATAATGGGAATTACAATACCATTACTTAATTCAATAATATATCATTTATGCATTCGATAATTTAGCCTAATATACCTATTTTAACTGTTTATTTGGTGATGCAGCATTGGCAATAGTGCACACACACAATTAACAATAAAGTCAACAAATGTGTCGATAATGCTGTAGCCTCAAAAGGAAAAACACATAACCATGCTAAAAAAGGTATTGCAATAATACTTATTTGTCCAGAATACCCTCACTAAATCCTTCTCAGAAAAGTCTCTCTAGGAATCTAGAGGTAATTAATTATTTACTCGATTTATTTGAACAAGGAAACTCGTGTGTCCAGAGAAAATTTCATACGGACTGGGGGGACAGCTCTCAGATGCCATTAGCCTACTTGACGCACTGCCAGCTTACAACCCTGCGGAGTTGAGTGTCTCACAAGATATGTTCCCAACATAATCCATCAATCTTGCGTGTTTATGAAGGTCCTCATAAATGGGGTGAGTGACCATATTGGGGGCTAAACGACATCACGACAAGACGGAGTGGTGGGGAGGTGGGGGTGATTTAGGGGGCTGGGAGAGTGGGGGCCAGAGTGTGGGGTGAGCCAATCCACGCAGATGTTTATCATCATCAGCCATGGCCAATCCACTGCTGGATGAAGACCTCACCAAGCCATCGCCATTTCTCATAGTTCTGCGATGCGACAATCACTCTGGCACAAGCTGACTGATGTCATCGCTCCATCTCCGTGGTGGATTTCCTCTCTGGCGTGTTCCTTCCTTTGGCTGCCACTCTGTCACAGGTCTCGACTGTGGGCCATCGTGCCCTCCAGCCACCGTCTCTTGTCCACGCCCACATATCTCAATGTCTCTATCTCGCGTTGTGGTCTGTCTGTCTCTCAGTGCAATTCCAAGAATATATATTTGCATAGCAGGAAATTGAAATAATTTAGAAATGCTCCCTTGTTCCCTTGTCATTCGTAATTTCAGTTATCCGAAGGCACTGGACCTGTTTTCATTCGCCTCTTTATTTAATAAATTGTGTTATCGCCTGCATTCATTAACCGTCCTAGCTGTACGGACAGTTGACACGTAGAAGTAAGGCAGCATTTTCTGCATGAATGTGCAGTGGCCATGGGGATTGACGCATGAAAGTCACAGGTTCAAATCCCTGGCGTAGATTACGATACTTTATTGCTTGAATTATGCCCGTAGACTAACACTCTCTCTGCCGAGTGACGCTGTTTTTAGTGTAAGTCATCTATGGTCCATTGCATTATCAATGCGATATATAGGCGAATATGTGTAGAAGTTGGATACGTGAACATCTATAGTAAATGACGATTACACCGCGCACAAATACAATGCAGTATTCCCTCGTTGTTCACGAACTGGCGATCGGCGGCTTGTGGCTATCCTCGAATCGCATTATGCATCGAGAGTGAAAGAGAAAGAAAGTGATGAGATATAAAGTAATGAGAGATACAGTCGTGAGAGAAGAAGCGATGCGATCAAGAGATGAGAGAGATATACGTAATTTTAACGTATTTAATCGCTTATTGATGAGATACAGAGATGAGAGAGATATACGTAATTTTAACGTATTTAATCGCTTATTGATGTATTTATTTAAGGTAATTCATTAAAAATATAGGTTTCCGTAGGCCACTATCATTATCCGCGAAATGTGTTATTCACGATCATCTCCCGAACGTATCCCCTCGCGAATGTCGAGAGGAATGCTGCACTGCAATGGGTGTGGGTGATTAATTAGCCAAGACAAAATTGCGACTTCGTACCGCGCTGCAGATGTGAGCGTGCATGGTGTGTGTGAGCGTGTGTTGGCGAGATGTTAACTACCTCGCCTGGTATACAGGAGGTCGTGGGTTTGATCCCAACCCTGACGCCTGCTGTATATTTGGAGTTTGCATGTCTCTCTCACCGTGGATTTTTCTCCGGGTCCTCCGTTTTTTTCCCCCCTCCACATTTAGAAACATGCGTTCGGAGTATTTGACTGCGACTGTCAATCTCCACGTGATAAGCCACTTCGTTGAGCTATCATTTGTCACCAATTCGCTTCTGAAAAAAGAGCTACATAGCTCAGTGTGCCTTACCTGGTTAAAGTAAATTCCAAAAATGTCATGCAAAAGTTATTGTCAGTGTGTGCGTGTCGGAGTTTTCGCGCACGCTCAGCTCATATGCGGCCACTGCGATGCCAGATGCTGCTCCGGTGCCGGCCAGGCCGATGAAGCTGCCGCTGCCGATGTTGCTGGCGAAGAGCGAAGCCCCGACCTGCGATCGGGCATACACCGTACATTCGCATAGCGCACACGATCATACAGGACATCGACAAAGATCCCTCGTGTAGCCTTAACAGACTTTTGGGGCAAGTGCTGTGAGCGAGCACCTAATGAAGGCCGGCACGGCACACGAGGGGATGGGTGGCCAGTACTACGCCCGACCGCTTTTGTCTCCCCAGTGGAGATGTTCGCACACCGCACCATGTTCCTAATTTGAGGCTGAGTCAACCTAGGGGAGGTCCAGGACTAGTTCAGATAATCGTTACGATTATTATAATCGTTACGATTTTAATCGTCACCGGTGTTGGCCATGAGTGGGAGTTGAACTCGGGTCGCCGGGTTTACAACACACACACACAAGCACTCCACACGGGAGATCCATAGCTGTCCACGCACGCACGCTGATCTCCCACCCACTTACAGTCGGAGTGCTGTCAGGCACAACTTAGCATCGAGGCATTGCTCATTTCCTGTTTACAGCCCTGGGTGGAAATTCCACAGAGCTATGGCGAGGGCCGAGACATTAGCCTTGTCTTTCATGCAAATTGCATGTCATCATCACTGGGGAATCACCAGACAAGCTGGAAGGCAGTAGCCAGGCGGTTGGCGTGCGCCAACATTCTCCTAAGCTTTGCATTTTTTCTATGCAATATATGAAGATGTATTCAGCGAATTAATTTTCATTACACACAAAGTGCTTGCCACAAATGAACCACAATACCTTGCTGATCTCGTCAAGGAGTTTAAACCATCACGCGAACTCCCGTCATCATCACAGCAGCGACTTCTGGCTGGCCATCGAGCAAAGACGGTCCCCGCATTGCGCGCTTCCAGATGCCCTTATGCGGCCATCTGGAATGCTCTTCCTTCCGATGTGAGGAAGCCACTGCAGCTATCCACTTTTAAATCCTGATCGAGAACTATTTTCTTTAGAATTGCCTTTTGTGTTTAGTATGTTGTCCTTCCCCCGCACCTCCGAGGTGCGCGGTTGGCTACGTACGGCGCGAAAGAAGTTCAACACACATACAATGAGTGTTTATGCAAGTGGGTGGAAAGCGGAGAACCTGGAGGAAGCCCACGTGTGCACTGGGGCAACACTCTATCCCAGGGGTCGGAAACCAAAGTAACAAGAAGAGCCATTTGCTTAGAATTCGGTACAAAACTCAATATTTCAAGAGCTGCACTACCTTTGACTTAAAACTTGCGTGACTGCAGGAATTCATATTCTTTGGTTATTTCGGTAAAGTCACTTAGAAGGGAAATAATAGAATAAGAATAAACAAATAAAACAATAAAAATTCTCACGACGTTTCGAATGCAACACAAGCAATCATCATCAGGTGTGACATCCACAGCAAGAAACGTCGTGAAAATTTGTATTTTTGTATATTTTTATTATTTAATTAATTCCCTTCTACGTGACTTTACCGAAAGAACCAAGAATAAGAATTAAAATAATAACGAATAATTAATATAAAAATAAAAACCACGACGTTTCGATCGCTTGTGTTGCGATCGAAATGTCGTGGTTTTTTATTATTATTTTTATTCACTTTGTTTTTTTCTTCTATCTGCGTGACCTTACCGAAAGAACCAAAGAATAAGCTGCACTACCTGTCAATACATACACACATTACGTCACGAAGCAGTCTGTAAATAGGCACATCCGGCTCTGGACCCGCAAATTGCCAAACCCTCCTCTGTTCGATAAAGAAGGGACAGTTGATATCAATCCACACTTTGCTGTGCCGATTTCTTCCGTGTGAGTCTGTGTATCACACGTCGTGGCTGAGAATGATTCTTGCTACCTGCTGAGCCTACCCACGAATGGCCACTTGCTAATAGCGCCTCCTCTTACGGGCCATTGTATGAATGCTCCTCTCTGAACGACGGCATGTGACCAAATTCTATACGTATACACATCAACCAAATTGTTATAATTTCTGACAGACTCCATGAGAAATGTATTTTAAACCCTTTAACAATCCCAGCATTTCCCTTTGTTGAAATCATGCTTAAATGTAAAGCACTGCGGCATAATGTGTGAAAATTGGTTGCTTTTAGAGCACAATCACCCATTTACGTGGCTGATTGACACGTAAGGCCAAATGGCCTAGAGGGTTTTCTAGTTTTCTATCCCAGGACAACATGTTTCTGATATGATCACATAGCATCATCTTTGGCTACATGCACACGCACATATTAATTATGTAAACATTATGCTCTCTCAAGCATCATGCGTGATTCCCAATCTGAATGATGACAGTCTCCCATCTGTTAATAGGTTTTTCCCCTTTTTTATGGCAACAAAATAGGTGTTAAGATGTTAAAACACCAAACTGAAACCTTTTACAAGGAATCATGTCTGCATTAACCACAATGCTTGTGGTCAGAATGCAAACAAAAAAACTCTGATAATATATGCATTGTCCTTGAAATGGATTGATCCACTTGGTCCATACCAGAGACAGCTTTCTTTTGAGCCTCGTCTCAAACGGTGTTAGACCAGAGGACGCCAAAAGGCGTACAGCCCAAAGACAATGCACGATCAGAGTAATGAGAGCTCGGGGTGAGCATCTACATAATCTCTTTTGTCTGTCCTTTGAGCCAGACCACCTCATTGTTGCCCATATTCTCACTTCTTTGTCTCGCTTTCGATCTCTTGCCCTCAATTTTCCCAGTGACGCAACACGTTTTCCAAGCCCCTTCTTGTCCCGTCACATGTCCCAGCAATGTCGCCTTCCCCGTCGCTATTACCTTTGCAAGTGTACGATTTTGCTTTGTTCTATTTAATACTGTGGCGTATAAACGATGCAAATAATGCACGCATATTATTGTGATAACGATGCATTCATGTACACGTGTGTAATTTTGACGCGGATATTTTAAAATTTAGCGTGTATAAATATGTAATCTGTTTTTTTGTATTTCATAGCTAGTGTATATTCACTATATATTTTAGTTATGCATGACGCATTGGTTCATTATTAATTATTCTAAATGTTAACCAGACGTGTGTCGGAATGCTTTTCTGTCTGTGTAGGATGGCCTCCAGTAGTCAATCGACGAAAGATGTTTACGGGTTCTGTGTATCATGTGCCGCAATGCCTTAATATAATGGCAGCTACGAGAGGCCCACTACATTCACCACAAAGTAAAACAAAATTAATCTTGAATCGAAATATCACTCTGAATCACACCAATTCAATTAATCGCGAAGGTGGTGAAAAAGTTATACCCACGGTGTATTTGTTTTATATATATGTTGCCTAACATTTTGTAAAAAAAACAATTATATTACAGTACAAATAACATTACTGAAACCAATAGAAAAAATGATGTTGATCTCATTGATTCAACCAAAATGTATCCACGTAAAGCAAAATAATGTGGCAGAGCCTATCTCTGCGCCACCTCTGAGTCACTGATGTAAATCCCACATTCCTATAGCGGGGTGCCTGTATATCCATATGAGACCCACTCTACACTTTCCACGAGGCCTAATTAATTTAATCGCCAATGCATGAATGATGGGGCAAAGTCATTCACCATCCAGAATTTCAAATCTCAACCTTCTCACTGTGATCCGTCCTTGATTAGGCCGTTTCCGGAGCTGTCATTTCCCGACAGCAATTCCACGTCTTTATTTTCATTATCGCGGACAATACAGCTGTTTTTGAGTTTAGGGGAGGCGAGGGGAGACAGAGTGAGCACACCATGCAGTGGGCAGGAGAATGTACTGCAAAGACAAGCTTGAAAGGTTCATCTATAGCTAGCTCAAACAATGCCGTTAAGACATTACACTTCCAATACGTACGATATATATAATATACGATATTTAATATCCTTCAATTTAATATTTGGCCAGGGGGGACTGTCGTCAGGTCACCTGGCTCACGATGAAAAGGCTTTGAGTTCAAATCTGGGGTCAACTGGCCATCTCCTAAGTGGACATCCGCACGGACACCGATCACTCAGCTGCCATGAGATCATTATTCCATCATACCTTTTAGCAATGAGCCTACTTACTTTTTCTAGCAATTAGAATTATGTATTTTTATCTGTGTGTTTTCTCCGAAACAATATGCTCATTTTTCTGTCTCTCAAAGGAATCCCGGCATGTGTCTCTTCGTAATTCTTTGTGCACTTTTCTTCATGACAGCACCGAAAATGACACAGTCCACTAATGTGTTTGGCTGTTTCGCCAATTGATGAATCTGCCCCCAAGATTGTATCCTTGTTTGAAGGAGCAACGGGATATGTTGCATTTGTGACTTTTACCAAAAACACGTATTGTGATGTTAGAGATAGAACATGTGAAAATTCACTCCCATGTAACCTCATGTTATTCCTTGTGGGATGTGAGGTGACAAATGAAAAATATATTTAATCCTTGCAATCTTCACATTATACAAACTGGGACACCAATATCTTGCCCTTACCGAATGTATGTTGTGTGCGTTTGCATTGGCTGGGCAGGTTTTTCTTTATGTTGTTAAATTGTTGTAACAAGGGTAGTACAAAATGTTAATCTGAATACTGTCTTACATTTTAGCCTAATTAAATAATTTAGATTAGAAGCGACTTTTAGGTATCTGTTGTGATTTTATGTATCCTGCTCCATGATACAATAAACATATCCTTCGACAACGAGACAGCGAGCACCATTAATTATAGCATTAGTTATTTATTAAGACCTGCTCATACAACGGGTCACACTCATATGCATAGTTGGTGTTCAGCCAGAGTGGTGGAAATTCTACATGCCCATGGCAGAGTGCAGAATATGCTTGTGACAAGTTAAGTTGACCTCTGATCTGAACTCAAAGCCTTCTCATTGTGAGTTCGAGTTCCTGGCCGCAATTGCTTCCAGCAAATATATAGTCAAAGTGTCGTGCCGTAGATGGGCCACGCTTACCGGTAGTGGTAGATGAGGTCCATCTACAAGGGTGCCCCGTACCGCCAAGGGGAGGGGGGCTGCGGGGGATCTATGATCCCACACAACACCACCCCTCGATGGGGACCCCAGACAGATAATCCCCTCGGCGCCACCAACGGGGGGGGGGGGGGGGCTGCGGGGGATCTAAGATCCCACGCAATGCCTCCACTCGATGGGCAAGGGGGCATAAAAGGGGACCTCCCCAGCCGATCGGAACCAGTCGCAGCTCAAGACCCAAGACCAGCCAGCTTAGGACCCTGGACCCCCTCGTCTTTTTAAGGACCGGGACGCTGTGCGGGCCAGTGGTGGGACTCTATGACTCCTGGCTCTATGTCCTTGTAAGGGCGAGTTCCGAGGAAGCCAGAGTCTAGATCCGCACCTTGGCTGGGTCGGGTCAGGTAGCCTCCCCTAGGGTAATTGTAGCCGGAGGACCCGAGAGCGTAACCAGAGTCATGCACGCTAGGAGTAGGCTGTGTCCCTAGGCTGTGTCCAAGTATTGTTGGAGTGGTGTATCGTAATAAAGAAGTTACTTCTACAAGTGTCTCCGGAACCCATTACATTTGGTGGCAGCGGTGGGATTAGCTGCCTGGGGTCCCCATCGAGGGGTGGTGTTGTGTGGGATCGTAGATCCCCCGCAGCCAGCCCCCCCCCCCCTGGCGGTACAGGGCACCCTTGCAAATGGACCTCATCTACCACTGCCGGTAAGCGTGGCCCATCTACGGCACTACAGTGAGTTCGAGTTCCTGGCCGCAATTGCTTCCAGCCAAATATATAATTAAAATATATTAAAATATAGCATGTACACCTTACATATCAAAATCATAATGTCCCATCGTACAGTTGTGTTTTGATAGTTCGAATATTGGTCATGGTGGTGCTGGTGGTGCTGGTGGTGCTGGTGGTCCTGATGGTGCTGGTGGTGCTGGTGGTCTTGGTGGTCCTGATGGTGCTGGTGGTGCTGGTGGTGCTAGTGCTGCTGGTAGTGCTTTCTCTTACCGGCCACCAAACAATGTCCTTTCCAGCCAAAAAGTATCCACTCACGTTACTGCGGTTGGAGCGGCACATGGACTACAAAGACACGGTGAAACGATAGTGTCAAGGGAAGAAAACATGAACCCTTCCCTTTAATGCACTGAATTCACAATGTGAAAAATCTTCCTCCCAATGCATCTGTTGTTGTGCACACCGGCGTAGCTCTATCACTCTCATCCATTTGTTGTCCTTTCAGGCATTTTTCTGAAGGCTGTTCCCGTACCCACATTTATTTCAGTAAAAGCATTTTGCATAGGAAACATCTCACCAGCACACAAATAACTGACAGTCTAAAATGCACCTGTAAGTGCTTTTGCAAACAAAATCATTCGGTGCTCTTTTAAATGCCTCCAAGAGAGAGAGAGAGAGGTGAGATATTTATATACACGATGAGAATGCAACTGAGAGTCTAAAGTTGGAAATATAGACAATGCACACAAAAAACGAAGATCAATAACCGATCAAAACCATAGGTCATTTAAAAAAGGCGTTATACCCTTTAAAGTGTAGTGTTTGCAATTGTAAAGAAAGGTTAAACATTACAAAATTCCCTTAACCCACCGCCCCCACTGGAAATCCTCTTGGCGTGACACGATGTTAATGTATACAATTTGTCTTACACAAATTAAGTGAACTGGCTGGAATGGCAATCTATTCGTTAGCAGTCACTTATAAGTTGCGGAAAATGTCTACAAGCTACTGTATATGGAATCAAAGTACACGTAGAGGTAGCGCACCATTAAGGGAACTTGCACAGGGCTGGTTTGTAGGGAGTACATTCTTAAGTTCCTGCCACCACTCTGGTCATTTATCAAATAATGCAATGTGCTTTTTGTGAAATAGACTCGAACTAAATACTCTGTGACATCAGTTCACAATAGTGTGAGCCCATGCCGGCATTTTTTGGCAGAGCGACAGCATTTTTCGTGGACAAATTGGACAAAAAAATACAATTCACTTGTGGCCAATTTCACACAATACCTCCCCCACTCAGCCGTAACTTGTGCTGCAATTGTGGAATTACCTGATGGTGAAAAATTGTTTCTGCTATTTTTTTCCAACTGGATTTCGACACAATTAGAAAATGCAGAGGAGGTTTGTGTTGCTCTAAATGTTGTAGCAAGTGGCAGACTAATGCGGGCTCACGTGCAGTACAGGGAGATGATCACACTGATAAAAGTATATATGTATCTTGGACTTCTTTCAGACCGTACATTGCCAACCGTGCTAATCAGAGATGCGAATACGAAGACAAGGAGATAAAGACAAGGAAGAAGATGATGATGATTGTGCATCTGCCAGTCATCTCATGGCACCTAGCTCTGTCCAGTCACCTGTCAGCGAGCCTTCGACACTTCACGTGGCCTCAACGTGCACCTGGCCTGGCACAGGAGCCGTGGTGACGTCACCACCACTAGCTGCGAATGACGGCTGTTGTTTATGCGGGGAGCGGTAGTGTAGTTGTTAGCGCGCTGAGCTGCAAACATGACGACCCGGGTTCCAATCCCGTTCACGGCCAACATCAGTGACGATTATCTCAACCGGTTTTCGGTCGATTGGCACACGAGGAGGTGGGTGGCGATGTTTACACACCGCACCAGGTACTCATTTGAGGCTTAGTCGACCTAGGGGGAGGCCCAGGACTCGTTCAGATAATTGTCACTGGTGTGGCCGTGAGCGGGAATCGAACTCGGGTAGCCTGGTTCATAGCGCAGCGCACTAACCGCTACAACTACCGCTCCCCACTGCCACCCACTCATGTAGTGGGCACTGTATTAATTTCCCATTCAAATTTCAGCATGAATAATTAAAGCGAGCCCTGCTATTTTGAGGCACTGTTGCATCGTTATAAGCAGCACTTAATCACGCATGATTAGAATTGGGTACAATTTTAATCAGTCACTCACATGCACTATGCAGATATCAGCCGCTAATGTCAAGGTATTGGACGTACAGCATTCCAAACTGGAAGCGCTTGATTTTGTCTATTAGCAGAGGGAATCTTAATAGCCTCTCTTTGTAATGTTCATGGAAAAAAACACTCAACACATTTGTCAATAATAACACCGTGGCCTTAAACGGAACAGGAGTATGTCAGGCGATGTTTCAAGCAACGACCCTTCTTCACAGCACACAGAGAGAAGAGGCCAGAGACGAAAGGGCATTAGCCCAAACGTCGCCCATTATACACTCCTTCATTTTAAGGCCACGGTGATATTGACGAATGTGGTGAGTGTTTTTGTTATTTTTGTGCTTGTGCAGGACAACTAGCGTAGCTGCGTTAAATTTTGTGCAAGGCAATATGCTAATTGAGCCGCATTCATGTAACGGTTAATCCCTCACACCTCTAAATATTTTCTACTTCGCATTTTTCAAACGTTTAAACATTTATTGCTCCCCATGTGAATCTTGTTCCATTAGAATTACGTGCACGAGTTGTTGAAATGCGAGCAACCTGCTTGTCCTCTTTGGAGTCGTTCATAATAGGTGCAATTTCTGGCAGTGTGTGCACCGTGAAATATAAGGCTGCATACTTATATGTAGAAGGGTAATTTTGATAGGGATCTAAAAAAGACATGTAGGTTCAAATGTTCAATTGCTCGCGCTGGGCTTTGCAGACAGACAGCGTCGGCTTGGCTAATTGAAGAAATGCACTTTATTGGTTTTGAAAAATTTATTTTGGTCTTGAAAAGCAAAATGCATTTGTGTCTCGAGTGAAAACAGTCCTTGATCAATACAGGCTGCCAGGTGTGATATGTGGATCACACAGCTGCTGTTCTAAAGTGATAATGTTCTATTAGAACTGAAAATCACACGAAACTAAACCTTTATAGAGATGTGCGTTAGAAAAATTCTGAATAGACAGGGAGATATAAAAAAAAACATGGCTTGGATTTAACAAAAAAACACTAACATTAAGTGCTGAAAAAAATCAATTGAACAAAGCTGCTGTAACTGTGGGAAGGCAGCTGAGAAAAACAGCATACACGTAGGGACTTGAGGTAGCCAAGAAAGACACAGAGTGAAGGAAATGTTCGTTGTGGCTTTACCGGACCTTGGGCTATGGAACGATCTATAACGCATACAGTTATTGGCGATGATGGTGACGGTTGATTTTAGAATGTAAACGCAATGCGTGCGTGCACATTGTGTTGAAACACTCCTCAAGCTACGGAGATTGCTTTAAAAAATGTCTTATGAGCAGATGCCCAGCCAATTAAAGTCACATTTACAAACGCGTGTTTGCATGAACATTTAAGCAAGTGAAAAAGTTTTTATTTTCCCTTCAAAATAATATACAACACGTTTATTGGCAACAAAGTATGGTATTCTCTGCATTATAAGCCATACTTTTCCCCCCTCTGTATGTATAAAAAAAGTAGAGAGTGCATTTCATAACCCTAATCGGCTACTGGGAGATGGGCTCATCCGTAATCTATTGATTATATAACATAAAAAATACCACAATGTTTGAGGTGCGTCTTACTTTCCGGAGCAGCTTCTAATCAGTAGAATACAGTACTTAGTGGACAACATACACATTTAACGCACGTGTTTATGTATATATATATTACAGTTGTCGTTGCTGAATTTCTAGAGAACGCAGAACCAGGCTAAATGGGCAGGACTATGAGGTAAAGGTAAATTTAAAGAGGTGAGTTTTCAAGACACACTTAAATAACTCTAACGACTCTGATAGTCGCATTACCAAAGGCAAAGCATTCCACAGTCTGGGAGCTGCACTGGCACTATCCCAATCACCGCAGGAACAGAGCCTTGACCTCGGAGCACATCGAATCAGGCGATCCGAAGATGTCAGGGACATCAATGGAGTATAAAAACGGATCCGTCCCTGCAAATATTGTGGGGCTAACCCATTGAGAGCCTCGTAGGTAAGCATCCTGTCCATAAGCGCAGTCACGCAACGGTGTGGCACTTACCCAAATACCGACAGCTAGGACCAGAACAAAGTAGACCGCGATCACCACTATGTCAACCGTATCAATTGTAGCTTTGCTGGAGGAGGCCATTGCAGTTGGTGTCTGTGGCGATTAGCTTAACAGGTCCCAGAGTCCAGAATATAAGGGCGAAGTGGAGCAACCTTTGATCAACTCCAGCTTTGTTTTTGTTTTACACGCAGTTGTGTTTATTGCTCACCGGGCCTTTAATTTTTAACCCAGTCATGCTGTAGAAAATGTAGATTTGTTATTCTGTTAAAAAAATGTTTGCACGTTTAAAAAGTACAGCCTGGATCGAGGGAGTTTGTGCCTTTGAGCCTGAGGTTCTTGTTTGAATTCTGAGATTCTTGTTTTAGTCCGTTGTCCTTCGCATCGCACCTCCGATTTGCACGGCTGGCTACTTGCGATGCGAAAGAAGTTCAACATACATACGTACATGAACCTTGTGTGTGGCATTACCACCTGGTGGAACTGTGTGTTCACTTTGCTCATATTTTGAATTCTAATTAACATAGAGGAAAAGCCCGTGACCAAATCACCAGGAAATGTGCATGATCTCGTCAGATCTCAATAAGCCAAGCAGGCTTGAGCCTGGATCATGCTTGGATGCGTGACCACCATGCATTGTTGTGGGGCCGTGTTGTCAGCAGATAGCAGTGGGGCAAAAGCATTTTTATACTGTACTATGTTCCAACATATGTGCTCCTTTTTATCCAGCACTAACCAGCGTGCAGAAGTATGGTTAAATAACCACCATGACATACACTGCGTGGGGAGGCTCTCATCCAGCAGTGGAGTGCCAAAAGGGTTCGCACATGTATAATAGAGTAATAATAGTAAGTAGGTTTTTTTACAGACAATCTGGGTTTTTATCACTTAAAGCGTTCCTAGCAGAACCATTCTGAAACCCATTCTTTTAGATATAAATCGTTTTTTTTTTCTCGAATACTGTTATCCACATAACAGCAAGAGGACCAACATATAATGACTGCCTGTTGGTAAAACATCAAGTGACTTCTTGTTCAAACGATCCATTGAGGTGGCACTCATCTTTATTGGCAGAGCTTTTACGTAAATTATAGTGTTCGTTTATGAAATGCTGCACAGTATTTAAAAGGTATTCAACATTGTTGAGGACTAAGTTGTCATATTTAATTACACTGACAACATTTTGTACACCGGCCTGTATTAGCCATACATAAATTATAGCATATTCTGTTCGAGTGAATGAAAATATCCCTTTGTGCGATATTTTTTGTCATTAGTTATTGTATTTTTTTTTACACGATGCTTTGTGCAGCACCTTTCATATCACATTAATGTGATTCTTCATATCCATGGCATCATGGCACATAATTACATTACCCCATTGTAAAAAAAACTAAATACGCTGGTGCTATTAGTGTGACAGGGCTCGGTCAAGAGTTGTCTTTTCATTTTCTGTTGATTACATGCATCATATCAGTGGTCCACTATTTCAGAATACAACTATTTAAGGTGGTAGAGATTGGAGTCAAAGTTAGACATTCATAAACGTGAGTTCTAGATGGTATAGCTTCCTATCTTGACAGCAACTGTAGATTGCTAATTCTGTAAAAGCATTTTCTTGCACTTATTTTCACAGTGTTTACGCCAGCAATAGTTCAGTTGAAGGCAAACGTATTTCCCTGCTGCGGTGTAGGGCCGTGTTCATCTCCATTGATAGCCTTGAATTACGGATTCCCAAGGCAAAAATTGGCCTCGCCTCGTGAAAAATCACCATTGACCTCCTCAAAAAGTGGGAGTCACTTTATTTATTAATCCTATCGGTGGCTAACCCTGACTGAGATTTGAACTCATGGATTGCAAGCTGAGCAGTATAACTGCAGCACGATTCGGAAAGCAATAGGTTACAAATTACAAAGTGCACTGTGGTTGTAGCTGAGTCTGGAATGGTGATAAGATTCGGCTTCACCTTTTGCACTTCACCATTATTCGTTGGTACTTCTAAAGATGCTGCTTCGTCATCATATCATCATTTGCTTGAATGAGCTGCATCGGTTTGAGTAGTTGCGTCATCAAAAAGACAAGGCGGTGGAGGAATTATGGACACTATTAAAAACAGATTTTCAAAGAACACATCATTATAATGGAAGGCGTAGATTAATGCGTTTTAATGTGAACGTAACATTGGTGGCATTGCTCTCGCCAATCATCGCCTGCCCTCTATAACCACGTTAGGACCCATTGAGAAAAGCCTTTTTCACAACTAAGATTTGGGGGAAATGTGCATTTGAGAATAAAAAAGAGCTGGTGAAAAAAAACATTGCAAATAAAAAAGCTTGCAAAGCGTGATATATCGTCCATTAACTCCGGTAAATTAAAATACATCCAAAACTCGATTATCTGGGGGAAATTTCTGGATAAAAGGGCTGGGTGGCCCGTGTAAAACAAAACATACAAAATAAAAAAAAACATGTAGAATAGGATATAAAATTATATTCATTGTTTAATTCGTAGAATTGGGGTGAACACGTAAAATGTGTCGTCGGATTTGTATTGCTTCTTAAAATTGCCGACGTGTATGCGGTCACGTCGACACACTGATTGACTGCCCTCGATTAGTAGAGAGCGTGCAAAATATTTACATCTTTTTTTTACAAAAACGCCATCTGGATAATCTGCCCACAAATATTCGAGAGCTAACTATCTATATACATATATACAGTATATAAAATTACAAATAAAACCCTCTCGTAGTTCCACTAGTAACGCTCATTCCAAACCGAGGTCATTATGCACGAGCTGCAGTATCTTTTACTCAGAAACCCCTTCACCTCTGAGAGTTTAGCGGGGTCGACAGCTGACTCACTTCTGCAGCCCCTGTACATTCCTCACCTCCAAACTCCAAATGACTCAGAATGCCACTGCAAGACTCCTCACCCACACAGGCAAACAAAATATCACTGTTCCAATCCTCTCTAGACTTGCTCTCAATCAAGTCCCACATCGGCTGCAATATCACACTTACCATCTGTAAGATTCTCCATGGATTCGCTTCTGCCTACCTCTCTCCTCTCATCTCAGTCTTCCTTCCCATGAATTGACTTCGGCTCCAGCGACCAAAGACTCCTGTTTAAACTCCAAGTTAACCCATGCTCAATGGCAGGTCGCTCCATTTCAACGAACTCTCTCCTCTACAGCCCCCCTTTGACCATCAACACGTCTGATTCTATCCACATGTTAATCTCCAGTCATTGCAATTATGTCTTCTACTCTGCCTTTTTGAGCATGAACCATCTGACCTAGTGTCGCATTCCTTACAGAAGTCTTCTTCCCCTGTGTGCTTGCTTCTGTCCGTAATTTAACTGAAACAAAATAATTATCCCACCGATTCCCCAGTCTCGCAATTAATCAAGCCTGGCTGAAGCCCCTCTTGGTTGGTCGGGGTGGTGGGGCAGTAGAGCTGTTGTGTGGAAGGGGCCACCATCACAGTGATTCACCGCTAAGGAGAGTGAATTTGGATCAGAGGGGGTGGGGGGCAACAAACGGACGTTTGGCGATGCAGTGCCCAAGCCAGCAGACCCGAAGCATCGGCCCTGCAATGAACGAATCTTCATTTGTGTGCAACATCCGGAGATGCAATCATCACATTCAAACAGTTTGATTAAATTCCAAATAATATTTACATTTTAGACATTTAAACAATGTCAACAATATGGTATATGTTGTAAAATGTGATAATTATAGTCATTTATGATTGCACATGTTGTTGGTGTTAATTTTTGACTTGATGTTCACATCACATGTATGCGATGACCTACATAATTTTACGGGTGCCTTATTTTGGACGGACTAAAAAAAACCGATTGATTAATTGGTTGTCTCCTGGAACAAATTGTCACTGATTGTGATTACTCGTAACACTTTTGGCCCAGCGTATAATTGCATGGGCAAAAAGGATTGGACGGCAGTGTGAAACTGTGAATGAAGTGATGCATTTTTCAAGTCACATTTAATATTAATCCATCATCATCATTCATGGTCTATTCACTGCTAGATGAAAGCCTCCACAAGCCACTGCCATCTCCCATGATCATGCAATACAAAAATCCACTCAGCACCTTCACATCAACCATTTAATAATTAACAGTAGCAAAAAATAGATTCCACCGATCTTTGCGCCACCCGACCATTCTGGCTCACTCCACGTTTTATTTATGGCTTTTCAGTCAAGATATTGAACCCACCATAAAATGCACTCATCAACATAGCATGACTTTTATTATAGTTTGAGCAATTCAGTTAATTATAATGTTTAGCCTAAAACGTTGTCTTCCAACAAAGCATTTCTCTAAACATTAACCAGAAAGTATTGCAATGATCTATTTGTATTTTACCAGGCACACTCCTTTTTTAATTGTTTGACAATTATTGTAAATTCACTGATGAGGGAAAGAGATTAGGTGGCAGCAGTAAGGCTAGGCAAGTATAATTTCTCATGCTCCTCTGCATTACACTATGAATATAGTAGACTCTAGATTATCCGCACTAATGACAGGGAGGATGGCCGTGGTTAATTAAAAAATTGCGGATAATCCAAACATATCAATTTTCCGCGGATCTCTATGCCAAAAACACTAATATCGCTAAAATTATGTTGAAGTTGAAGTTAAGAAAATTGAGAACGAATATTAACAATCGACCGATCAATGCACATGCTCAGTGATTACACTTTCCTGCTTCCACGCAAAGCCACGCCAATCAAAATCAATCAAACTCTGCCCACTGTTGTAAAAATATGCAACTACTGTACTGTAGAGGCGATCACGTGGATTTAAGATTATCCACAGCAACATATTTGTTCAGTTTAAGCACGCGACTTGTAATAGAAATTTCAAAGATTAACAATATATAATTGTTCATAGCTAGTTAATTTGGGCAAAAAGGAAACTCCACAAGATGTTAATTTATGTCAAAATCTCAGATGCGCGGTTAATCCGCAAATCGAAATAAACCACACGCAGATGATCGAGAGTCTACTGTACATCAATTTGCCTCCTCGATGTAACAACATTGGGTTGCAATCATACAAACACGCA